AAACACCAGGCCGAGCAGGAGGACGGCAGACCAGCATCTGTCAGGCCCCTTGGGGCTTGCGTGTCTGGTCCTCTGTGCTGCCCTGAGCTCTGCAGGAAGTTAATGGCGCCGCACCACCTCCTCTGTGCAGGGCAGCCCCGTTTCCGCCTGTCGGGCTGGTGCCTGTGTCAGGCCCAAGCCCCAGGTCCTAGCCCAGGCTGATGGAGCTGCCTGCAGGCCTGCCCAAGGCCTCGTCCCAGGGATGTCTGCCGGGCCAGGCTGCCCGGAGCCAGCTGCCTGGGGCTCTGGACAAGATGGAGGCTGGGCTGGGGCAGAGGCTGCAGGGACAAAGCAGGGATTGTACCAGGCCGGCTGCCTTTCAGGGCCTGGCCCGCCAGGTCCAGGCCTTGTTCCACCGCCTCTGAGGGGCCAGTGTTCTGGGCCCAGCAGCTGGGAGCCAGGCCCCACCCACAGAGCAGTGCTCCCGAAAGTCCCGCTGTTAAAGAGAAACTCCTCGTTTTCCTGGAAGGCTCCAGCTTCCCAGGCTCTTTCTGCTTTCAGTCCCGGGGCCCACAGAGGCTGTGGCAGACCTGCACTGCTCTGCCCCAGGGGCCTGGGCTGCAGGCTGGGCCTGGCTTCCTCCCCGAACCCTGGAGAGTGACAGCACCACCCCCGGCAGATGGCAAGGTCCCATCGGTTGGCATGCGTCTCTCTGGGCACCGTGCTCCTTGTTGGGTGCCATGTCCTTGGGCTGAGCTTGGGTCCTGTCTGCCCTGGGGGTGCCATCCTGTGAGGACAGAGCTGCCTTTCCTGGGTGGCCATGGCAGCCTCGTGGTGCTGGCTGAGGGGAACGGACACTTCTGTGCTGGGGCTGGGCTGTGTGGGGCTGGGTAGGGCCGGTGGGAGTCCCAGGCACCTTGGCCTGAGGGGGATGGAGGTGCCCAGGGCATTCACGCCATCACTGCCCACTTGGCTTAAGCTGGAGCCCAGGGCCCTGGAGGGCAGGCTGGCCTTCCCCGCCCCGGGCAGAGGCGAGAGGGCGCCTGGATGGCCGCCTGCATGGTCCCGTGATACAGCGGGGACGGCTGCACATGGGGCTGAGTCTCAGAGCCGTGGGTTGTTTGCGGGGGCACAGGGAGCCTGCTTGGCCAGGAATGTGGCCTCTGTGGGTGACTTAGCCTGGGAGCTCCTGGGGAACCCGTTGTATGGGAGAAGGGGTCAGGTTAGGGAGTGAGGGGCAGTGCTTGGTGGCCCTCCATGCTGAGGGAAAGCCCTTCTGCACAGCTGGCATCAGGCCCATGTCCTTGGCACCCTGAGTCAGCCGCAGGGCCAGCCGCTGCCTGAGCTGCCTGGTTGGGGCTGGCCTGGGCCCCTGATTGGCTGCTTCCCTGGGCGGGGGTGACGTCACTGCGCTGGGTCCGAGAGTTATCTTGTGCAGACAGAGGTGACAGGTGTGATGCATGCCCCAGGAAGGGTGGTGGCCACGTAAGGCACCTTGACCCTGCCCCCTGGGGGTGCAGGGGGTGGAGAGGCAGCCCCAAAGCTGGGTTCTCAGAGACCTGGGGTGGCCAGATGGGGGCTCATTCAGCTGCCCCCTGTGTAGCCCCTTGGTGTCATTAACTTCCTGCAGAGCACAGGGTAGCACAGAGGGCCAGCCAGGCCGGGGAGCCAGAGGTTCCCCTCCCACACAGGCCCCGAGGGGTCCAGGCAGGAGGCAGCGGCCCCAGTCCGTAGAGGCCAGGGCAGCCTCTTCCCCAGGGTTAGGCTGCAGGCCCTGCTGGTGTGGCTTCGGGAGCCCTGGTCCCCATGCTCAGGCTCCCTCCTGCTCATCTGTGATGGGGCCTGGGTGTACCCAGGTCCTTGGTAGGCACCAGGAGATGCTTGGGGTCCCCCGGAGCCTGGAGCCCCCCAGCCCCTCCACTTGCTTTTGGTGTTTGGGGTGGAGACTGGCCGTTGGCACCTGCGGCCGTCCCTGGCTTTCATCCTGTGCCGTCCGGGGTCTTGGGGTCCCTCTGCCAGCCCCATAGTGACTTCTTGCAGACAGAGTTTGCAGGGGGCTACAGAATGACTCCGTCCCTTCCACGGCACACGGGCACCTCCAGCCAGAAGGAGCTGGCCAGGCAGCCCCGCCCCAGGACAGAGCCACAGAGCTGTTGTGACTGAGGGTCTCTGGTCAGGACGTTCCTGTGCTGTCTGTTGTGGGCAAGGCCCCCAGGGCAGGGCCACCTCCAGGGTATGTGGTTCCAGACACTGGCTGAGTGGTCACTTGTGTCCACACCGCAGTTTCCCTATCTGTGAAGTGGCTTGGACGGGACGGTGGGGTGGTGCCAGGGGGTTGCGCCTGCAGGGACTGAGCCCCCTGCCTATGGGGCCAGTGTCACCCTCAGGGCAGAGCCAAGGAGGGGAGATGGCTTGTGGGCCAGGGTGCCTGAGGGTGGGGAGAAGCAGTTCAGATGGCATCAATGTATGGCTCTCACCCAGCCGACCGGATTTTTGTGGAGCTCTCTCTGCTGAGGACAGCGAGCGGGGAGCCATGAGCTGTGAGCCGTGATAGGGATTGTGGCAAGGCCGGGCCGGTCAGCTGGGCCCAGCTGGGGACGCCAGGGCTGCATGGTCCCTCGGGGCTCAAACTGGTGGCTGCACCCCCAGGGCTCTGGGCTGGTGAGGAGCTTGTCCTGCCCGTCCCTCTGATGCCACAGTGACCCCGGACGCATCCCATGTTGCCTGCTGTGGCCCTGCCTTCTGCTGGGTGGATGTGGGGGATTTGAAGTACAGGGGAAGCAGTGAGTTCTGGGCCTGACCGAATTCCCTGGTGCCATCGGGCCCAGCCTCCCTCGTCCTTGGTGCCCTGGGGTGTGGTGGCTGAGCACCAGCTCTGTGGTTCCCGAGGCTTTTCTGGGGTAGAGGCCTCACTCCAGGTCCTGGCGTTTTCACATGGGAGCAGAGGAGAGAGCCCCAAGCCTGGCGAGCACTGCCCCGTAGCCGCCAGCAAACCCCCCACCTGTTATGCAGAAATAGTCCCAGGCACCGTTTATGGTAAACATTTGGTGTGCACATATAACAGAGGAACTCCTGAAAACCAAAGGGCCGTTATCACCCTGAGAAATTAGCACTGATTTCTAGAAACCGGCAGGAAGCCAGTCAGATGCTGGGATTTTAACTTTAAAAGACCGTTTCCCAGGCCTGGGCCTCCACCACCAGCCCAGTCTCCCTGCAGGAGGGACTGGACAGGTGCTGGGCTCTGCTTGGAGCTGTGGACTCAGTCTCCTGCCCTCTCCATGGCTGGGGGCTGCTCCCAGGGGCCCTGAGCCTTAGCGTTCCCCGGAGGCCCGGGCATGGGGTGGGCCTGGGCTCCACATCACTCAGGATTTTCCAGATGAAGCTGACACTGGTTGGGGGACCCCACTTAGAGAGCCGGGGTAGCAGTGGCCTCCTTTTCCATAACCCCTGACCCTGGGCGGTGGCCTCCTCCGTAACCCCTGACCCTGGGCGGTGGGCTCCTCCTCCGTAACCCCTGACCCTGGGCGGTGGCCTCCTCCGTAACCCCTGACCCTGGGCGGTGGGCTCCTCCTCCGTAACCCCTGACCCTGGGCGGTGGGCTCCTCCTCTGGAACCCCTGACCCTGGGCGGTGGGCTCCTCCTCCGTAACCCCTGACCCTGGGCGGTGG